ATAAAAGAAGAAAATGTGTACATGTATGTGTATGCGCGTGTGTTAGAAAGTTCGCTTAGATCCGACAAGGGACGTGTCAACGTCTATTCTATTGTTTTAGGACCACTATCTGTCGTTAGTAATTTTACATTAAGATAATAATAAAAGAGAAAAAAAAAATAAAATGTTGAATGGAAAATTCGAAAAGGGCACTCTTTATTCAGAGGGAAATTCGAAAAAGAAAAGATAATAACAATGAGAAAAAAGGAGGAAAAAAGTAGAAAAAAAGGAACGATCGAATTCACTTTGGATAGTTGATCGTTTCGAGATGCGAATTTTGATGCTAGTGAAATCGTACACAGAAAGAGAGAGAGAGGGAAGGTATATATGCATGTATATTTTGAAGTACATGTGATGACAGGTAGACAGACAAACAGACAGGTAGACGGACACATAGGTAAAACTCAGCTGAACGAGACACATGCTAATTTGGATCTTCCCTTCGGCACGAACCGGATAATATGCGAGAAAAATACGTACCTATGAGAGTAATCATTGAACATCTTCCTTGAGTAAAAAAAAAACGAAAAATACGGCAATTTATGAACAAATGACACACCATATATATTACGCGCGCGCGTATCTTGTATGTGTATGTAGTATATATTGTATCGGAAAAGTGAGAAATTTGATATTTTTAGCAATTCCCAGGCATTGCCTACAATGCAAAGCGTTTTTCGACAACTGAATTTCCTACTTTTCCGGTAACATATATATTTCCAATATCGTCAATAATTGAAATCTAATTTATAGCATTTTTTATACAGGAAAAAAAAAATAAATTAACAAAATTGTTTAATTTAATATGTTATATTAAATTATAAATAAATTTGCTCGTACATAGGTATCATTACATGGAGAACCCTATTGGTCGCAAGTTACAAAAAGTTATTAAAATTATTTTTAGTATCTCATATTTTAATGTAAAAAATATAAAAAGGAAAAAAAAACTGAAGATCTAACGAAATATTTTTATTCTTTAAAGCCTGGGTAAACAAATATTCCATTACATGTAAACGTGTTATTTTTTTGTATATTTAATATTAAAATATATGCACGTGTAAATGTAAAATTGAATGTGTGAGGAAACGATAGGGTGAATGTGTGCTTATGTTAATGTATCTTTTAAGTTAGTTTATCTAATATCTACATACTTCTGCTTCTTCCTTTTACTCTATTATTGTACGCTAGTAGGAATTTGAAGGAAAAGTTTAGTTCTTCGTCTAGCCTCTTTGATTGGAATTGAAATATCTCACGAACGTAGGAGTAAAGTTCTTTCTAACGATCGCAAACTCCGGGATCGACGAGCTGTAACTTTCTAAATAGACCGTGTCTACCTATTCTGTAATCAAGTTCTATTGGACTACAACGTAATTACGCTAAATAGAAATAGAGTGAGATAGAGAAAGAATGAGGGAGACAGAGAGAGACAAAAGTAATTTAAATGAATACATTCGTAAGCAAATATTAATATATTTGTCTACTCAAATTATTTAATTCATGTTAAATTTATTGAATTAAAATATGCATGTCACGTGTTTATATCAATGTGATCATAATCCATGATTATAATAAAAACAAAAAGGAAATTTTAACCCTTTCGTTATATAACCGACCATTATATGGCTTGTTTGTAACCAAAGGGTTGTTTTACACATTTTTAAAATTACACAATAATAATTAACGTGTAAATTTAGTCATAGAATTAAATATTCACGTGTATGCTAATGACGATTAAAAAAAAAAATTACTTAAATTTACGCTTACAAATATTTGGGCGTTTAATTGATCATTTTTGTTAATCTAGCTTGTTATCGCTTACAATTCGTCGTAAGGATGACGAAGTTTATTAAAAAAAAACTTCTCTCCTTTCTTCTCTAATTGTAAGCCGATTTCCTTTTACGAGCTATGAAACTTTTACCTTTGTCTACCCGTTTAATTAATTATGCTTCAATTTCTTTGGTAATTAGCATTGTCCTAGTGATCAACGCGATGTACCAAATTTTCATTGAAAAGTTAACTGTTTTCAACATTGTTTTCTTAATCGTTTTAAAAAATTATAATTTATTTATTTATTTTTTTTTTTTTATAAAATAAAATAAAAAGGAATAGTATGAGGAAATAGTATGCTATAATGGTGAATGTGGTATAATAAGGAATAGTACGGTGGGGAGAAATGAAATCGGTTATAAAGGTTCATCAAATAATAGAAATATATAGAAAGAGAATGAAAGATTCAAGTTTAAATAAATACGAACGAATGTAAGGGAAAGAGAAAAGGGAAAGACAAAGAGGAACTTTAAACAGAAAAAGTAAAATATAAAGGAAATGGAATGAAATGAAAAGGAGAATATGGTGTTGAGAGGTGGGGTTGGAGGTTGGATAGGAGTATAAGAAATGCTTTGAAAATAAGAATATACCATAGAAGTTAATAAATTATTCTTAGCCGAGCTATAAACGGATAGTCTTTTCTTCCATAATAAGTGCACCGTACTATTTCACGCATCTTATCTTCTTTCATATTTTTTTCCGAACTAAATGTATCTATTCATCTATTTATTTATGCATTTAAATAATAATATAAAATTAGATTTTTTCGCCAACCGATTGACGTACTTTAATTCATTCGACAAATCGAATGATTCGGCATTCATTTGATGACTAGTATGAACGAGTGCCGGATATATTTGGCATCCATGTGACAATGCATGGTACAAACGATATCTACGTATAATCATATATTAGCTAAAAATAAGTAAATAGTAATTGTATTATCTTGTAGATAATCTTTTATATAATTACATAATCTTTATGTAATTTTTTATATAATTCTGTGTAGAATTTTATGTAAATATTTTTTAATATTAAAGCTAGAAACAATAGTTGTTGGAAAAAATATTGTGTTATTATATATAGTATATATAAGCACAGCTCTTATTTAACACTTAAGAAAATCTTCATGCAAAAGAGGACTGACCATGTGCTTTGTGCGCATTTTCGGCACGGCACCCTGTAAAGCGGAAGTATCACAGCGGATAACCCGCTTGTACCGTAAGGATTAATTATGAGCGAATTGAATTTTTAATTTAAATAATAACGAGAAAAATGTGTCCTATTATTTAATTTTATTTAGAGTAAATAAAGAAAAATAAAAAAAAAAATATGATTTATCCTACAAAGTTAAAATTTTTGTTTCCAAAGCGCGGGTATATAAAATATTGAAATGAAACCTTTGCGTGTATGTGGTACAGGCCTTAAAAATAGAGAGAGAGAGAGAGAGAGAGAGAGAGAGAGAGAGAGGAGGAGAAAAAGAGAGAGGTAAACAAAACCTTTTTTCTTTTTTTTTTCAATAAAAATCTAACAAAATTTATTCATAAACTTGAATCAATGTTTATTAAAGTGAAATAAAAGGGAAAAGAAAGAAAAATAAAAAAATAAAAGAAAAAAAAGGAGGAGGATATAAAGGATAAAGGGGTATAATTGATCAGAGATTTCTTCCTATACTAATATATTTTTGTCGAGAGAAAATGATCTTTCGTTAGGGAAAAAATCCTAAAAAATATACTCGTAAACATCGTTTGTTCAGTGCACATTAACAAGGAAAAATAAAAAAAAAAAAGAATATTTTTATATGAGAAAATTATCCATTAGATATCTCGTTAAAAAAAGAAAAAAAGAAATAAAGAAAAAATCTTCTCGATAAGGAAATTTAATCAAATTTATTCACAAACATCGGTTATTCTGTGCTCGTTAACGAAGCAAAATAAAATGGAACGAGAGAAAATATTCTAAAAATGATTTGGGAGAAATAGAGAGAATAGAAGAGCATTATTGTATGAATTTTTTGCGAATTTTCTTCGCGAAAAAATCATCTAACCATTAAATATCTCGTTAAAATAAAAAAAAAAAGATTCAACACCCAACAATTTTCTCTATCTCTCTCTCTCTCTCTCTCCAAATGGTAATCTAATAAAATTTATTCATAAATAAGATTGTATAAGTTAACGCGTACAAAAAGATGCAGCAATAAGAAAAAAGGCTCTAAATATGGTTAAGAAAAAAAAAGAAAGAAAAATTAAAGAAGGAAGAGGAAAGATAAGAGAGAGAGAGAGAGAGAGAGAGGCATTATTGTTTGCGATTTTTTGTGAGAGAAGGTCGAACGTCGTCACCAACAGTGACGTCAGCGGCATATCGTTTCTCGTGAAAGGGAAGAGAAGTAAAACGTAGCAGAAGAAGGCGAAGAGGAGGAAGAAAAAGAAGAAGAAGTAAAAATAAAAGAAGAAAAAGAAGAAGAAGAGGAAGAAAGAAGAGGAAGAAAGAAGGGTCTAGCTGCGCCCTTAGTGGAGAAGAAGAGTACAGGTAGACGAAGTGGGGTATATGGATGGATATATGGACAGAAAGAAAGGAAGAGAGAGAGAGAGAAAGAGAGAGAGAGAGAGAGAAGGGGTAGTTGGAGAAAAGGGGGTGGTAGAAGGGTGGTTTGTCTGGCGCTTGCGTATTCGCGTTCCTGTTCATTTGTCAGCCGAGCACAGCTTCCACCACCACGACGAGCGGCACGGCGCTGCTTTTCCACCCCCTTTCTCTCACTCACACACACGCACACACTCTCTCTCTTTCTCTCTCCAAGTCTCTCTCTTTGCGTCTCTCTCGACACTATTCGATAACAAACTCCATAGTACCAGTACTGGTACGGTACTCCGGAGCACCGGATCGTTCTCTCCGCGTATCTCGTCTTCTCGGCCTTCGAATATCATATTTCCTCTCTTTTCTTTATGTACTGATAGTGAAAGAAAAATAAATAGATAGATAGATAGAAAAGAAACAAACAAAAAGAGAAATTAGGAAAAGAAAAAAAGTCAGCGTATTTCTATCGTTGAAGAGGAAACCTCCTCGAGCTAGAAAACTATTGGCTTCGATCACGTTAAAGTAAACGTTAGTTACTCTTCTCTTCTATCTTTTTTTCCCTCCGAAACTCCCTCCGACCAATCAAACACTAATCCTCGATCTCACGTTCTACCGCTCCCCCCCCCACCAATATCGCTACTCGATCTTTTTCCCTTCTTCCTTCATTTTTATCTTTCATTTATTTCTTACGATTGATCCTGATATATCTGTCACGCGGTTTTTTCCTATCTTTTCATTTTTTCCTTTTCCTTTTTTCTTACTTTCTTTCTAAGCATTTCATTTTAAATAAGTTTTTCTGTTTTTTTTTTCTTTTCCATTAGTAAGTAATTTTTTGGTCTCCGTCAGTTAGAAAATTAAGAAAATTGTTCGTACGTGTACGCAAAGTCAAAGTGTACGAGAAGAAAGTCAGTAGTTGAACTTTTGGTAAACTCTTGAAGAGTCACTCGAAGGTATCCCCTTTCATTCGTTCTATTTATCTTTGTCTCTTCGTATTTCCTTTCCAACCAAGGATTCCTCTTCCTCTTCCTCTTCCTTTTCCTCTTCCTTTTCCTCTTTCTCCTTCTTCGCTTTTATTCGTCCATTTTATTAAATCATATTATCATTATCCTCATATCTGTCCCTTTAATTTTTCTGTTGGATTATATTATTTTTTCTTATCATCTTGATACGAAAAATAAGGAGGATTCGTATTTTAGTCGAGTCGAGCCGCCGGTGGTAGCTCCAGTTGCTTTCCAGTGCATAACTTGTTGCTCATACGTAAGCAGTGATCCAAATCGTATCGTCGATTTCAACACGTACAGTGTAAAAACACAAAAAAACAGATCAAAGAAAAGAGAAAAGAAGGAAGAATGTAAGGAAAAGGAAAAAAGGGACATAAAGGTCTACAGGAAGGTGACAAAGGGTGAAGAAAAAAAAACTGCTATTTGTTTGGAATTACAAAGAAGATGCTGCACGCATGGGGTTGTCATCGATAACAACCCTTCTCTTTGATTTCCATCACCTTTCTGTTCTGCTTCTATTTTTAAACGTCAACGGGAATGCATTGAATCCCGAAGAATACCCTTCGAAGGATTTCCAACTAGCAAAGGGATTTTCAAGCTTTGGCTGTTCACGTTTCTTGTTATCCACAGCTTAGAGTGCGGTAAGAACAAACAAACATTTGTACCAACCACATCTTTGTTTGACCATAAGATTAACCTATTTTCCATTCTCCAAATGTTTCATATTCTTTGAAATTTTCTTTTTTTTTTTTATTTTATTTAATAGTTATTTTCTCTTGCCCCGTAAGATCGTTTATTTGGAAATATTCATCGTTTTTTAAATATCAACGATCATTTAACAAGTTTAAATATTACATTAACGTTTGAATATTTTGCATTGTTGCAAACTAGCTCGCTACCCAACACACACATCGTTTCACGTTTATATCTACTTCAAAGATTGTTCGTGTGTGTAATTGTGTAAATGTGCGTGTGTCAACGTATGAATAAACGTGAATCTGCGCGGAAAAATGTATGATTTAAATGGCCTCGAGCGTTAAAAGTGGGGCTTCCTCGTGTTGCTACCATATTGTCTACGATGATTTTCATGACTCCTATTTCCCTTACAACGTTACACGTTTTTTATTAAACACTTTTCCATTAATATCTCCTTATCGAGTATTCAAATAATTCTTAAATATAAATTCTATAAATATTCGCACATATTTTTTATTTGAATACAACTTTTCGAAATATTCATGTATATATATTTTTATTTAATATTAATTTTTGTCTAACGCATATATGATAAAAATGAAAAAAGAATATGAAAATTTATCTAAGCGTAGAAAAGTGAATTTTTTAAGAAACAATAGTTCTGTCTAATGTCAAAATGTCTAGTAAATTTTAAAATACCCGGATGAGATTAATCATGCTTGTCCAATTACATTCTGTCATCGCAATAATTTTCTCCAGCACACGTCTCGTTAAACGTATCCATAATTTGGAAAATAAACGCGCGCTCACGAGAATTTACAACCGTATATTCGTAATTATTTCCATTCACTTTAAGATTGTAAAAGAATGTTTTATTTCGTACGTTCGTACGTTGAAGATAGTTTCTAACCGATTGCGAGTAGTAACAGGTTTCTATTAAATGCGAGTTATCATCAATTTTCTTGGAGTTCGTATTTCTGTCGTAAAAATTTCAGCTCGGAGAAATTCGATGCCCGAGATGGTAGAGAATAAATAAGGGAAGTACGAAATAAAAAAACGAAAAAGAAAGGAGGAGGGAATTGGAAGGGGGCGTCGAGGGGGTGGCGAGGGGGAGGAGGAGAGAGAGAGAGAGAGAAGAAGATTAAGAAAAGTCGAAATATCGAGGGTGCACGCGCGATAAGTCGATTTCCTATTTCCATTTCCTTTCGTGTAAGTTGCTTGAAGACGAAAGTAGGTTCCACATCGATAATCGCTTTTCTGGAATGAGAGAAGGAGTGTAAATGATGGGAAAAGGAAAGAGCTGGAGATGGAGAAGGAGAAGGTGGAAGAAGGGCTGGAGGAGAAGAAAAGATGAATGCTGGATATCCCAGAGAAGGGGTTTAATCCTTTCGTGGCACAGGTTCTCCAAGGTTTGATTGACTTTGACGAGTTCGAAAAGATGGCTCAACGAAAGGGCTTTCTCCGCCCACTCTTCCTCTCTCTCTTCCGTACTATTTTTTTCCTTTTCTCTCTTTTTATCTTATCTATCATGTTCCGGATGCGATCTCAATTTTTGAATGATCGAAGATGCGAGCGAGCTTAATTCAGTTTAGCTCTCTCTTTCTCCCATTTTCTTTCTTTCTTTCTTTCTTTCTTTCCTTACTTCTTTTTTTTTCCTATCTTTTTCCTTCTTTTTTTCCCTACAACACGTAAAATTCGATTTCAACGGTTGACGGCGTGACAAATTGAAATTTTCTGGGTTGCCCTGTTTTGACCTCAAGTTCCGGAATAGAGCCACCGTGAGAAAGGGAGAGATAGACAGAGAAAGCGATAGAAAGAGAAAAGGAAAATGAGAGAAGAGATATAACAATAGAGGGTGAAGAGCCTTACCAAAAGGAAAAGGAACATGAGCAGAAAATAGTTGTAAATAGTGTAAGAAAAATAGAGCTAGATAAAAGCGTCGACAAATATAGTTTATTTCAAAATTAATATAAAACTGGACATAAAAAATAATATATAATAAAACCAAACTATTATTTATAGTTTCGTACACACACAAAAAATAGAAAGAACCATAATTGTGCTAAATTAAAATTACAAAGTCAAATGATCTATCGTTTTTCGTCTATTTAGAAATGAATCGAATAATTTAATATTAAATATTATTATATAAAAAAAAAAGTAGAAGAAAAAAAGAAACATGAACGAATAAAATGATAAATTATTTTTCACGATATAGGTTTATATAAAATATAATTGAATAATTTAATTTGAAATCTTGTATAAACGAGGACCAAATAAATCCCATAAGCTAATGTCTGCGGCAATAGAAATGAAGAGAAAGTGAGAGAAATAGGAAGAAAAGGGAAAGAAAGTGTGTGAGTGAGATTGAGAGAGAGAGAGAGAGAGAGAGAGAGAGAGAGGGAGATAGAGAGGGGAAGAAGTTCAAGTTTGGAAAGCTGCGAGAAGGGTTTTATTTATTAAAAAGCTGACTGGGGTGGGTTAGAACCCGTTTTGTAAAAGCGAAACTAACTTTCGAGTGCGATAAATTAGCTGAGAAAATCAAGCGGACATAGTGTATTCTATCTTTCTCTCATTCTCTCTCTCTCTATCTCTCTTTCCTTCGAGATCCAGATGCTTTTCTTGTTGTTCTCTTATTTCTTGCCTTGTTTCTTCCTTCATCTTATCTTCGTTCTCTTTAACGATGAACTTTCTTTACAAGAAGAGTTATACATATTCATTTATCTATGTATAGTAACCCGTAACAATAATGAAGTAATTAAAAAACGAAATTTCCTTTTCTTCGATTCAATACTTTTTCTGATACCTCAAAATGTTTCTTGAAATTGGCTATTTTCTTTTTTTTTAACTTTGCATTTTTATTTTGTTACATCATTTCTATTGGATAAATTTTTAACCAATGTTCTTTCTTCAATTTTTAATACTCGGTTATTAAAACATTGATGTAATAATAATATTGTACTATTAGTTTATTAACAAAATAATATCATTTTTTTCAGTGGTAAATTAAAAACAATTATTTCATATTTAATCAATATAAATGTATTCTATTAGAAAGACTTAACACGTTTTATGATCAACTACATAAACCATTCATATTAATTCTATACATTTAATGAAACCCACATATCATTTAGATAATATCTATTACAATAATATTGTTCGCGAATTAACATTCCATGTGATGTGATAATCTGTGCATACTGTTAAAACTAATTAATAATAGATAAAATGTGTTTAACTATTAGTATAAAATTGACTTCGATTCTGGAAACAAACAGGAAAGGGGTAAAGGAGAAAGGGGAGATAAATTAGTATAAGGTAGATAATTCTAATCATTAATTTAGCGCTACAACGAGCCTAATAGTTCTCGAATACGAAATCAATTACCATTGTTCGTTTGTATTCCCGAACGAACGTTATCATTCACACCTAGACAAATTTACTATATCAGCAAACCTGCACTCGAAATAATAATATTCAAGAATTTCTAATAAAGTCGTTGGAAGAATTTACTACTCGGTTTTCTAACTTCACAACCACTACTATCACCACTATTACTACTACTAATACTACTTACTATTACCGCTAGCTATTATCGTTTTTTTTTTCTTCATATAGTCAATGTCGTTAACATTGTTACAGATCAAAAATACTTAAATATATATACAGGATGTCTCAAAATACCTGGATATAATTTCATGGGTAGCTTCAGTAGGGTAAAACAAGAACAAATATTTTTATACAATCATACAACTGATATGACTTTGTCCCTGAATTATAGCAATTTTTGTATTACATTTTTTTTATAGAAACTGTTAGAAGTGGCCACCTTCGGCTTCAATTCAAGTTTCAAACGTTTTATCATAAACTTTGTTCCAAAATACCAATTGTTATATGAACTTGCCGACAACTGATTTGAATTACTGGAAGATAAAAAGAAATATCATTCGAAAACAAAGTATTATGTCGGTCATATGAACTTTTGTTTCTTATTTTATCGTACCGATACCAATCCCTAAAATTGGATCCACATATTTTGAAAAATCCTGTATACAGACGTACTTATCGCGTGATCAAAGAAATTGAAAAGTTTTTCGATAAAGAAGAGTGAATAGAAAAAGTCATGAGAACGTTTTCGGAGCCGCTTAAATTTCAATCAAATCGAGATTTTCTTTTTTTACTATTTGGCTTCGAATAAACACAACGTAAAAAAATAATAATAATAATAATAATCCCCGTTTAAAGAATACTCCCTTAGTAATCCATGTTTGTCGTAAGAGGGCGACTAAAAGGGAAATCCAGGAGATTAGATGGACAGTTTGATAAAAAAATCTTAATATTGAAGTTAAATCAAATAAAAATGTGATCAGGAGTAATGCATCGGTTCATCTTGTAAATTTACTTCTCTTATGGGATTTGATCGTTGTATTTCTTCGATATGATAGTACAAGAGAACCGATAGATAACGACAGCATTTTTATTAGAACCTACGGTTTTCTCCGTACCATCGTTCTACGTTATATGAAAGGTAGATAGAAAGAGAGAAGAAAACCATTAAGAATCACCGAGAGATCGAAATAAAGCATCGAAGATAGAGTCACTTGTAAGAATTTATTCTTCCTCTACACACGTTGTAACCTTCTGTCAATATTTTAAACACAAATTATTAATAACTTTTAAGCACTTAAAATATCGATAAACTTCCATGAAAATTATCGTAAATTATAATAAAATTCTATTAAATTCCATTGCATGAAAATAAAAACAAAAATAAAAGAGAAAGAAAAGAGAGCATAAGAATAAGAGAGAAATAAAAAAAAAACATAGAGAAATCAATGTTAAATATAATAGTTGAAGAGCATTGTAACTGTGTTAATTAGAATCGAGTAAACGAAAGAAATAGGAAAAAAAGGGAAAAAGTAAAGAAAATAGTTCTATTATA